ATCCACCGCACTGTCGGTCCCCGACTAGCGTCTTCGTCGGACACCGCTACGGACTCCTGGAAACACTTCTCCACGGCAACCAGCACCTCCCCCAACCTCGTCACCCTTGGGACTCCGTCAGTTCCGTCGCGGATGCTTCGCGGCGGAGTGTCGCTGGTGTAGAGCTGCTCCAACACTATGGCCTCCACCATCTCCATAAATCCCCCTGACGTCACTTCCATCAAGGTGTATGGCTTCTTGGTTTTAATTCCAGGATGAAGAACACGTTGCAGAAGTAATAAGCGAGCCAAAATAGGAGGGAGCGTCAGAAGGATGGTGTGCCACTCACCAATCGGCTTCTCTGAAACTTCTTCCGGTAAGCTGTACCACACTGTCAATTGGTGTATCTGCCCCTTCAGTGACATGGTGCTACGGCCAACCGTTCCATGACCAAATGCCGGTCCAAATGACAGTACGACACGAGGAATTTGTTGAAGGCAGTTCATCAGATGTTTTTGCATTTTCGTTGTAAACGGGTAGGTCAAAGTGACGGCCACAATGAGTCTCGCAAGGAGATTGTCTGTAAGCCTCCTAGAATGCTCATCCAGAGTAGGAGTTTGTGGTTCAAATAGGTAATAAAAACAGGACATAAAATGCCGCATTTGACTATGAAGTTGTCCTATTCCTGCCACCTCTTGCTCGAGCGTCCCATCCACGCACATTAAGATGGAGTCCAAAAACAGAACCGAAACGGACCTGAAGAAGGGCTGCACAACGCTCTCACTAATGGAATTAAACCTTTTGGTAAACCCACGAAGCTGGTGGTATTTCTCCACAACCAATTTCTGATCATTGGTGGCGGATCCACTCTTCTCACCCTGTTCCTCCCGGCGTGAGCCATTGGAGGCCCACCGATCATTCAAAAAATCCGCGGCAAAAAGTTCGCCCTCTGGCAGTGAAGCCAACAAAGCCGTCAAGTCATTGCAAAGCAGCGTACATGCGTTGCTGACGCAAATGTGAAGCATCTGAGATGCAGTTGCATCACCAGAAACAGAGGGAAGTGGAGGAAGAGGCCACTTCCCCGTCGTCTCCGTTACTGGCTGCATAAAGCTTGCAAGACATTGGAGAATGCAATCCAAAACAATACCAAGCGTGTGGGGATTTTGACGGTACGTCACCACATCTTGTGTCGCCAACATGGTGTACCCACGTGTGTCCAAGACACGGGCCGCCGCAGGAACTTCTGGTCGTTGGAGATCAACTTTCATACTCACCGTAGATCGACCGCTCGCGGTAGGAAGGATAGTAGAAAGTTTTGAAAGAATATGGTGCAGCCGTTCCCGATGGCGGTCCATGATATGAGCGGCAAAGCGTTCATCCACCTCCTGTGTGACTTGGGAAAGCCACAGGCGCTTCAACTCCTCGGAAGCCGTAGCGTTGGTGGTGGTGTTGGTGCTCGTATGCAAAGCTTTGCTTGATGGGGATGACCCGCTCGTTCGTTTCAACGCAGCAGCGTCCATCTCCATCAATCGATCCAGTATCTTCAAAAGCTCATTCATGCTGCCTAGAAATCCTGTTAGTAGATTTTGGTATTGTATTACGTCTTTTGCCAGGACGGCAAGGAAGTTGGGGCGTTTCTGAACCGCCTGTAGACGTTCACAGAGTTTTTCCGTTACAAGGTGCCAGTAGTCACCCAACACCGAAGTCGGGCTTTCCACAACGCTAAGGTACGATGTGTGCGTAACGGGATCCACCTTTTTGACTAACACTCGCCATACGGATACAACCACCTGGCTGTGCTGCGACACATTTGCAAGAGCCGACTTGATACGTGAAAAAAGAACTTCACGCATCCGAAGATTCATGTCGTTTGTGGCGCTGCTCCCTCCATGATTCACTTCATCAACAATCGTTTGCGGGTCCAAGTCCCTCATGAGCGAGCGTATCACCTCACGCTTCTGTTCTGTCATGAGGCTACCGAGCACCCGAGGAAGAAGACCCAGAGTAAAGAGGCATTGCAAAGAAATGGCCACACCAGATGCATCTTGAGCATCCCCGTGTCGCAGCATTTCCTGAGCCTTGGTACGAATTGTGAGCGCGGCTCGCTCTACAGTGTCCATGCGGTTATCCACCACCTCTATCCCTTTAATGTTGCTGGTTTGAAGCAGTTCCTCGACCTCCCGCAGTGTGCGCGAGGCCCGGGCAAGGTCTTGGGAAGGTTGACTCTTCAGACGCGTGGTAAGGCCAATAAACTTCAGAATACTCCGCAGGATATTTATGGCGGCGTTCATGTTCCCCAACTTCGTGATGTTCGCACTGATGACACGATAGGGCTCCTGGATTGTTTGCCGGAGTCTGTTAGTGGAGCCCATGAGGGAAAACGTAGCCTGACGCACCGCAGCAACGTCTCGCTGTGCCCGGCAGGCCGCCGTGACCTGCTGCAGCATGTCTTCCGCGTTCTCCGAGAGTATTTTGTGAACTTCCTCCCGCACGGCCTTGACGCACGATGCGAGACGGGCCTGCTCCGCCTGACAGTTGGGGTCATGGAGGGCGTAGCGCAGGTACGCCTCCTCGTCAAAGTCAGGACTCATCAAAGCGCTGTCGGCGAACATGATTGATAACGACAATTCCTGAAAGAAAAGTTAAAAAAAAAAAAAGTTAAGTAATAAACCAACGCAAAGCCAACAAAAAGAAAAGTGGCAAGTTGTCACTCGCCCTCCACACACCGAGAGAGAGGTAGAGAAAGACACTTACCTTTTTTGGTATTTATCTGCGTTTCCCCCTTCCCCCGTGCGATTTGGTCCGTGCGTTGTTCTTCCCTAACTCTCACACCCTCCACACACACACACACACAGAAGCACATCACACACGCGACTTTTTTTCTCCGCTAAATTAAGAAAGTGCAGAACCATCTCTGTGAACTCGCAACAGCCGCTCCCGAGTCTTTGAAAGAAGCTTCCTCAAATTGTCATCAACACAGTGACTATCCGCACTCAAAGTGGCCACCGCATCCAACAAAAAGCTCCGAGTGTCATCTGGAAAAGGGGAACGGAACCGCAACACGGCCCGCAACAAGAGTTGAAGGTTTGAAGTTTCTTCCGCAGTAACACATCGACCAGCCTGTGAAAGGGCATAAATGAGACGACTTGTTACTTGTATGCTGTGAGGATGCTGAGTGTATCGTTGTAGCGGTGCACCGCACAGCAGGTCTGTGGCTTGTTTAACACCCGGTGAAACACACTGAAGTCGGACACAAGAGACCATCGTAAGGGCAAAATTAAGTCCCTCCAATGAATTTATCACCGCGTTCACTAGCGACACTACAACCTCCTCGCAACCCACAACATAGAAGTGTGCCAGTGCCTGCACGGTCATGGACACAGCAACTGGTGTGAGGTCCCTCAATGGTCCAGTTGACTCTGTTAGATGTGAAGCCTGTGACGAGGACAATACTCGCATTAGTCGCAAATGACGGTACGAGCCCATATGAAATGCCTTCAAGATATACGCCATATCAAGTGGTGTAAGCTGCGGTGCCAGATCCATTGAGCGTCGTGCGATACTGTTAAAAAGCCCACGTGGGCCGCTGCATGTCAAAGACACCACTCGGCACACATCTAGAATTATTCCCTTTACCTCATCTGCGTCCTCAGTGAGCTCAATCTCGTTAAAGAGCCGTTTTTCAGCCGCGATAAGAACAAGTTTGGCTTCTTCAGGATAAGTCTCAGCCAGCATCAGGGCACATTGACGCACATCCGCAAGTGGAGTGTCAGCCACCGTCTTGACAACAGTGTCGGTAAGAATTCGTGTGAGTTTTTCGTCCCCCACACCGGCGCGGTGCATAACCCGGAGAATATAAACGGCCTCTCGTGGAACTATCTCCGGTGCCACCTCTTTCAGCCGCGGCAGCAAAATCGCGATGATGTCCGCCGTCTGCGGGTGCCTCAAGCTTGACAAAGTGAAAAAGAATGACGACATGGCCACCGCGTCCAAAAGAAAGGCGTTCTTGGTGTGCTGGTTAATGAGCGCGTAGGTGGCGGGAAGACTCGCGGCGTCAAAGTAGGCGGCAACGCGAAGCGCGCGTTGCGTCTGCACAAATAGAGGGTCCTCGTCGGTGGAAAGGAGTGGAAGGGTGCGCAAAATTTGCATCGCCTCCGTTCTTAGCGCGGGGTCAAATGTTTGTTGGTGCCGTTTTTGCAGCGCCACGAGCTCCGCCACCCGCTCAACGGCCAGACGTCCCGCAGGAGTCAACTTACGCTCCTGCGCCCGCATGACAGCGTTGCTGAAACTCTGCTTGTGGACTTTGGACCGCATCCGCACGGCGACGTCCCTCGCCATTTTTTCAAAGGGACCGCCCATCCTTCCCGTCCCTCCGCCTCCCCTCTCTTCCTCGCCCTGTCTGTATGTGAGGCCGTGGTATTATTTCCCTTCCTACGAGCCACGGAGAGCGGCCCACACCTTGCCCAGTAAAAACACGCGCAGTGACCTCGACAGCACGCCCAAAAAAAAAAAAAAAAAAAAAGCATCCACGTTTTGTTGTTGTTGTTGTTTTGAGAAGGGGAGGTTGGTAAGAGTAAGTGGTGAATCCCGCGCACGCAGAGAAAAAAAAGAAGAAAACGCATGTCCTCGTCCGCGCACAAAAAAGTGCACATGTGCAATAGAAAGAAAGAAAAAAAAAGAGAGAGTAAAGTGAAAAAGGGTGTGAAAAAATCAAAACACACACACACACGCAGAAACAGAACGGCAAAAACTTTACGTCCAATTCATCCGGTCGGCCCGAAAAAGTGTGACTCGCTGATACTCTTTTGGTTTCGCGGTTGTTGTTTCATGATGTATTTCTGCTTTAAATGCACAAGTGTGCAATGCTAACGCTAATCATATCCCCTTGCAAAACTAATCTCCCCCAACCACACAAAAAAAAGCCCTTGTTTTTTTATTTTTTTCTTTCCCCCTCGCAGTCAACCACCGTTGAACCACACTGCCGGTAATATTACTACTCATACTGTCCTGTTCCCTCACTCCGCCCATCCCCTCTCTCCTCGGAGCCAATTTAATCCTTACGGCATGAGCTTGCAGCCGACATTCCGAGGGTACATGCGGGGTTTCTGGCCGGGGTCGTCCACACCCTCCGGTGTCCGCTGACCTATTTCTGCTGGAGGAGATACTTCAAGCTTGGACATGAAACTCTCCGTGTAGCCAAATGAAATGATGGCGGGCTGGTTCACCAAGTCACCGCCATCATCAGTGCGCGGGCGTTCAATAACGGCATGGTTCATGCCGTAAGTAATGCATGCCTCCATAATATCCTCACACTCCTCCTCTGTGGCGCCTGCCAGACGGATCATTCGCTGGTCCGTAGGGGTGTAGTTGATGTACATGTGCGGCTCGCCAAATGACAGCTCCTGGATGGTAAAAGTGCAGGACGGGTTAAGCAACTGCAGCTCTGGGAGGTTGTTGCGCCACCAGTTACGCACGCCAAAGCAGTTCGGGTCCTTCGGATTCAGCCATACGGTAAGTGACGCCACACTTGGCGTGAAACGTGCCCGCCACGACATTATTACTTTGCTATTCAAAAAAACGTCACCGCAGGAACAAAACTTATAAAAGCAAAAAAAAAAAAGAGTTCAAAATAATAAAAAAATAAATAAATAATTCCCTAAAGGACCGCCGTCATAAAAATGTTGTTGTTTTTTTTTTCTTCTTCTCCTCCCCCCTCATGCGCACATCCATCCTAATCCAGAGTCTATGTACATTGCACAATGGCACCATTGAAACAAACATGTTGCTCACTTCTTAGCGCGAGGGGACTTCCTTTTAGGGTCATCGCCTGGCACTTCGGTCTCCACAGGAGCCTGCGGTAAAAGAAGCAGACGCTTGTAAAGCATATCGCTCAGTTCCTTCTGTACCGCCCGCAGGCCGGGATCACCGTCGTGTAAAATCACAAAAGTGTGTAACTTGATGGAGGCGCAGTAAAGCTCCGGTGGTTGCACCACACAATTCTGCAGTGCTGACATCTCTTTATCGTCTGAAGGCTCATGTAGAGACAAAACACGCAGTGCCTCGCGCGCGCCGTCCAGTGTCACCCGCGGGTTGTTTCCCAGATTAACACAACGCAATACGGTATTGCCAGGCACACGCACAGAGTTCTCCATGCGAAAGCAATCACGGTCAAAAGGCGACGTTGGACGCACCAAAAGAGGCTCTGCCTTTTTGGTTTTCGTTTGTGTTCCCTTTTTGGATTCCTTCTTTTCCTCAGCAAGAGCAGGGTACCTGGCTTGATGCCACGCCGTGTAAAGTTCCTGATAGCTGGGATACGTTGGGGGCGGCGTTGACGCCAGCTGCCGCTCTCGCGCGGTCGCATCGCGACGCAAAAGTTGTCGCTTGCGATAACCCGGCAGGCTTTCAAGCGGCATTTCCTGCATGCAAAAACAATCCACCAAAGTGAGAAGTCCCACGTCCGCAATATCGTTATGGCCCAAGTCTAGCACTTGTAATGTACGGTTTTCCTTCAGTAGTTTTGCGAGAGCCACAGCGCCTTCATCGTCAATGCGATTGCCCCACAGATTAAGGCTAACCAGTTCACTACGCGGATGACGAAGCAGCAGTGATGCCATTAATGCAACGTCCTCGCTTGTTATACCGTTCCCCCGCAGGCTCAGATGCTTTACACCCGTCAGCAGCATCGAGGCCCACCCACGCGGCACAGTGACGGGGTTCTCCTTGTCAATCTGCGCAAGGCTATCCAGCTGCTGTTGTAGCTGCGTCTGCTTCTTTGAGTCGACTTTTCCCTTCCGCCCCTTCTCCTCGCGAGATTGTTGTTCGAGCGATAACAGCACGCTTCGCAGGCCTCTGTACTCTGAGGGAGCAAAGGTGGGTCCTTCTAAGCCGGACTGTTCCCTCAATGACAGTAAATTCTCTCCGGTAAGCGTGGGGCCCCCACTGCGCAGCACGACAGAGCGCCGCGAGCTCCCCGGCAAGGAATCAGTGGTCGGTTGGCTCAACGCCAATTCTGGCGTCACGTCAGTAAACGACACGACTGTCGTCTGGTTTGCTGTTTGGAAGGTTGCCCCAGGAGAGAGGACTGGATCCACATAGAATCCCGGATTGGAGGAGCTGTTGAAGTCAATCGTCACAGAGGCCACACGGCGACTCTTGTAAAGCGCCTCCACGAGCAAGAAATAGCTCTCTTCCGACAAACCGCAGCCAACAAACTCAACCGAGACAAGCGAGACGCAATGCGGTATCGCAAGCGCTAAAGGTTTTATGTCACGCCTGTTGAGACAGAACTTGAGTTGACGCATCACGATAAACGTAAGCGTCAGTGGAGCTGCGTTCTCCAAAGCCTTTGCAGGATCCTCCGTCGCCGCACCCTTTTTCTTGCCTTTCGCATTCACACTCGAAGCTTTACGTCCCTTACGACCAGCAGAAGCAGGTGTATTATTAGCAGCAGTGGTGTTCACTTTGTTGGGGGTAACAGCGGCAGTGGCAGCGGCAACTGTGGATTGTTTCTGCGAGAATGACAAAAAAGCCGCCGCATCCGCATTGGTGTCAGCATCAGACGGAGAATGCGCCTCGAGGTATTTGACTTCCTTCTCTTGCCTTCGCTCCTCGCTGGTAAAAATGGAGCGGTACACCTCCTCCCGCTCTGTGAAGCCAAGGGCATGGCAGTAAGCCCCGTAGTCCGAGCGGAGCACACCTGACGGCTCAAAAAGCATTCCTGCCGCCTTTTTTTTTTTTTACTAAAACGCCAGAAGACTGTGTGTGAGGCCAAAGCCCAAGCCGCCGTCCACGGTAGTGAAGAAGAGGGTGGGGTGAGGGATTAAATGGTGCCCCCCAAACCCATGAAAATAAAAAGAGGAAGAAAAAAAAAAAGAAGAAGCAGCCGCCGTTGAGTAAGCCCCAAGTGAGGCGATAAAAGAAAAAAGAAAACACAATTCACATTTTAAATTTTCACCCCCTTTGAATGTGTGGATCAATTGGGTACAAAGTGACGTTTTACAAGAAGATCCCCCCCCCCCCCCGCAGGAGAACTCCTCGATGGTCAATGATACGAGGATGAGGTGAGGAAAGGGAATGCGGGGTTAAATACACTCTACATAACCTCTCACCCCTCCTCCTCGCCCTCAATGCATCCTCATTCTCAATCACACACACACCGCATACATGGAGCAAAGAAACAGAAACAAAAGCAAAAATAAAAACAAAGCAAGGCAAATCAAAAAAATTTTAAAATTTTAAAAAAAGAAAGAGATGAAAGTAGGGAATTTATTTTACAACTATGCTTAATGATCACTTTCATTGCCAGAAGTTTCATCCTCCTCCTGCTTCCCACAGTTTGAGAATATCCGTTCATGTCGTTGGCAAAGTTCATTTACACGCCGCCGCGCAATCCAGCCTCGTGCCCACTGTTGAACCAGAACCACAAACCGCACCAACTCCTCCACATCCGAGTCTGGTTCCGACGCCACTTCCCCAGAGACGGGGCAGCCAAGGCTAGCCCACAGCTCCGTCGGATCAGCCGCATCTGCAGCAATGGCAGTCATGGCCGCCGTAATCTCCTCTTCCTGTGCTTGTATGGTATTCCAGTACTTCTCCTTCGCATTACGCTGCTCCTCCGCCAGTCGGCGTGCCCTGTAAGAGCGGTACGCACGCTGCACCCGCAACGCCGCATGCTCCAGGAATTCCTCGACATTGGTGTCCATCGTGCGTTTTTCCCCCGCCATCAACCGTAGCCTCCATAATTGTTTTTTGGCGTGACATATCTGCATAAACGAAAGCACCTTTCTGGCGGCCTCCTCAGTTTGAACGCGTTCCCTAAACGCTTTTTTACGGATATAAAGCTCCTTTCTTGCAGCCAATGAAAGCAAAAAGCTTACAATTTTATCGACGGCCCTCATCTGAACGGCATCCCTATCCTCCATTTCTTGTAAATAATCACGAACTGCCCGGCCACGTGCCATACGATCAGTTTTGGCTTGCACCACACATGCAAAATCATTCAGCGTGGCAGTGGCCTCGACTTGCCTCAATTGATGCAAAGCACCATGTACAGCCTGCTTACGAGCTGCAATCTCTTTCTTCGCCAAAACAATACGCAAGAAGCCCTTCAATGACGTCATGGAAGGATTATCAAGATGATGGACCTTTGAAGACATGGCTTGCGGGATTTTCAGAACACCCATGCGGTTGGCAATCATAATCACACTTCCTGCAGCACGCGTAAATGCCTGTGTGATGGTAATGCACCGCTCAAGACGCGCCTGCTCCACCTCTCCTCGGTACCTCTTGGTAAAACGGTCCAGCAATTCGTGATCCAACACGGGAGGTTCCTCTCTATCTATATCCAACCTGTACTCCACGTATTCCATCATTATTGCCTTCAACACCCTAAAGTACTGACGACAAAGATAGCCGCGCGCCACACGAGTGATGTTCAAGGCAGCCATTTCCTTCTTCCTCTCTGCATTCCACACTCGCTGCTCCCGCCGTATTTGCAGAGCCGTTAACGAAGGGACGGGGTACGTCGGTGTGGGTGTCCTCAAATCCTTCCGGCGGCGAGTAAGAGGTGGGTGAGGGACGAGTGACTTCAATTCCTCGGGGCTCTCCGCCGCGGCAATTTTCCGAAGACGGTATTCATTCGCCTTTATGCAAATTGCATCACGTGCCTCGCGAAGACTTTTCTCATTCGCCATAGCGCACCGTCTTTTCTCTCGTTCAATGGCCAACGCCTCCTCTAGGCTGCCCAACTTCCGAGCTCCCTCCTCCCGTGAAGATGTCGGCGCCAACGTGGACAAGGGCATATGCACAGGTGTGGGTGATGATTCCGGTGTAGACGTACGACACACTGCAGCATCTGATGTTACGCATGACCTTGTCCTGGATACTTCCACGGCGGCGTCGGAGTCCCCGAGCTTTTGAGTGCCTATGCGCAACTCCCCTTCCGCCAGCCTCTGCTCAAGTGCTGCCAATTCCCGTAGTTTTTCTTCCTCCCATGAGCAGATGGCAACCGAAAGTCTCTTTAACCGCTCCCCCTCCTCGCGAATGGATTCAGTCTCTGAGTGCTCCGTCGTCCCCTGTTCTTGCAATGCCTCCTCTTCTTTCTTTGCCAATTCCCGTAGTTTTTCTTCCTCCCATGAGCAGATGGCAGCCGAAAGTCTCTTTAACCGCTCCCCCTCCTCGCGAATGGATTCAGTTTCTGAGTGCTCCGTCGTCCCCTGTTCTTGCAATGGCTCCTCTACTGCCTTTTCTTCGTGTTTCATTTCCTCAGAAACAACTGAGGGAGCGGTCGGAAAGACTCCTTCTTCTCCAGCTTGATACTGTAACACATGCGAAACCTTTGACCGCGTCTCATTTCCTCCCTCAACTTTCATCAGCAGAACGTCCGTTTTCTGTGGACCAAAAGGTTTTCCCTCATCAGCTGTCATCTCCGGGCATTCATTCTGCACTCCTCCGTCTTGACATATCCCCCATTTCTGTCGGTGTGTCTGCACTGCCTCAGTTAGATCCGTACTGTGTTCTTCCCTTGGAGTCTCCTCCATTCTAATTATTTTCTTTGTATCAGGCACCGCAGCGCCCAATTCATTTGGGGTTCCTTCCATGTTATTTACATCTTTAGAAAGCGAATCGGAGACTGGAAGAAGCGTCTCCGTCCCTTCCAAAACATTGGCAAGGGGCTGGCAAACCGCTGGAGCGCTGCACTCTTCCCGAACCATAAAAATCATCGCTGGTTCAGGCTCAGAAAAAGTCGACTCCCGCGCGCGATCCGCCAGTTCAAGTGCCCGCTCTCTCTGACAGAACTCAATCGCCGCCAACTTCATCTCTCGCAGAGTGCGGCCAAGTTTCTGTCGGAGGTGAAAGCCGCGACCAATCCGCTGTGCAACCGTCGCAAGGGCACCCCACCGCGCCTCTTCAAGCCTTCTTCGGCGTTCTCTGCGAAGTTTCTTGAGCTGCCGCTTGGCGTAGTAGCCCCGGAAGGCGCGTTGGATCTTCGACGCCGCCTGAGATTCCGCACCTCTTGTACAAATTGCGCGGGCTGCATTCAAGCGGGCCGTTGTCAGCAGTGGCTCCGCCTCCCTCTTTATGATGAGCATCCGTCCAAATGCCTGGAGCTTTGTCGCCGCGTCAATCTTCCGTTGGTGCTCTCGAAGACGCGTCTCGCGGGCCGCTTGTGCCTCCCTCAGACGCTGAAGCTCCGCGCGGGCAACAAGCAGGCGCCACCAAGTTTTAATTTTCTCAGCTGCGTTTCGTCGGCGAGCCTCATTAATTTTACGTCGAAGCTCTCTGGCCTTCATTCTCTCCACTCTTGTTTCCCGCTCCGCCTTTCGTCTCCTCCAGTGACTCTGTATTACTGTGACAGCAAGCTCGCGGCGTTCCTTTTCAACGGCAATGGCTTTTGCGCTTGCGTACAGTCTCTTCAGCGTCGCCAACCTCCTCTTTGCGAGAATTTGCCGCCACCACGACTGTACCCTAAGTGCAGCATGACCGGAGTTCTTTTCATAATTCTTTAGTCGTCTAAACTTGCGTCGTGCAAGCCAGCCTCGAGCCTTACTCTGGATGCGTATAGCCGCCTTATGTTGTTCACTGGCAAGAACTTCCCGCTTTGCGACACGCCGGCGAGTCCCCCATCTTGCGTGTAACCGTCTTCGGAACCATCTCTGAATTTTGCGAGTCGCCATCGCCCTTCCAATTTCACGCAGCACATGATTGCTTCCGCGGTTCTCCCGCATGTCCTTCAAAAGCTTACGAGCCCTGTAAACACGATACGCGCGCTGAATAATCGATGCACTCGCCTGTTTTCGCTCCAGTTCCTCCTCATCCACCAATAGCATATCCAGGCGATCTGCCATATAAGAAATAAGATTATTCCCCAGCAACCGCACTCGAGATGCTCTTCCCTCCCGAGGTACGGATTCTGCGGCGGTGGGGGAACGTTCTAGAGAAGCCCTGTACGTGCTTGTCCTGCCCTCCCTGTCCAACTCCGCCCTGCGCGGTAAGCCACGGGAGACAACCGATGCTCTTGCGGATGACTCAGCAGCCGACTTCGCGTGACCAACTCCAGTGCCCAAATTCCTTGATCGGTCATCCGCGTGGACGGCTGACTTCGCCTGAGTTGGTACAGAACGGGGTGCTTTCGATTGTACCGCAGACGGAACGTTGCTGGCCAATGGCTTTGCACGGTCCACCGGGCTGGTTATGATGGAATCCTTCTTTGAGTACTTCGGGGAAATCTTGCTGCTGGAGAATCCAGTGCGTGCATTATCTGCATTTGCGGAGTGTCTTTTCAACGGGCTGCGTGTATCATCTGCGTTTGCAGGTTGTCTTCTCAACGGGCTGCGTGCATCATCTGCGTTTGCAGGTTGTCTTCTCAACGGGCTGCGTGTATCATCTGCGTTTGCAGGTTGTCTTCTCAACGGGCTGCGTGTATCATCTGCGTTTGCAGGTTGTCTTCTCAACGGGCTGCGTGCATCATCTGCGTTTGCAGGGTGTCTTCTCAACGGGCTGCGTGCATCATCTGCGTTTGCAGGTTGTCTTCTCAACGGGCTGCGTGCATCATCTGCGTTTGCAGGGTGTCTTCTCAACGGGCTGCGTGCATCATCTGCATTTGTGGAGTGTCTGTTGAACTGGGGAGTCGTCGGGTTAGCCGCAGTCGACCTTGCAGGCGTTTTGGATAAAGGTGCAGAAACCTTGTGAGAGCCTTTTACAACTGGCACGCCCTTGCCGGTTGCAGAGTTGCCAAAACCTTTGGTGTTCGAAGAAATCCCAGGCAGTGGAATCGTGGATAACTTTCTCATCGGTGGTGTCACCGCGCTTTGCTTCGGCGTAACTCGACCGCCCTCCTGACCATTTCGATTCCTCCCTGCTGGCGCCGTGAGATTGGAGTTGCGCGCAGGTCCCTGAAAAGAGGATGCAACAGGCGGTAGTCTGGATGGTTTCGGCGGAGTCTGCCTTCGCTGGGTTTCTTGTCGTCGTGGCGGCGTCGATCGGGAAACAAAACTTTGATCTTTTCGAACCTGCGAATACGTGTGGTCCGGCTCATCCTTTTTTAAGGGGAGCCTTTTTGTCGATGCCAACAACGCCGGGGACCTCCGTTGAACCCGTGGAGGATGGTACATGGGTGTTGCATTAACTTTTCGTTGTACCACGGGATCTGCCGCGCTGAGCACAAAGGGGTGGGGAAAGATGTCTTTGGGCTCCAGCTCGGGGTGCTTGGATTGGCTCAACGGGGACTTTTGACGCGCCTGGTGCACTGACAACCTTCCACCGCGGATGGAACCTCTAAAAATGTGCCCTGCAGTTGAAACTCGGCAGCTCTCGGCCTCGACCATTTTGTGTGCTTGGAGGAAGCGCATCATGTTTTTTTCGATCGCCAATGTCGTCTCGTTTGTGAGCCCCATCGTCTGCTGCGCCAGGCTCAACGCGGATTGATATTCCTCGAGCGCACG